TTTCTAAACTTCTGAAAATGTTATTCGCCATATGGTCGTCTTAATTTATGCCATCGTTTAACTAAATGATTCTTATTCCTATTTTGGAATTTTATCGACAAACTTGTCATTTTCCGCCGACAGGTTAATTTTTTCCCAAGCTGAATTTACACTAATTGATAGTTACAGCTTGTACAGAAAAACGTTATGTAGATCATGCAGATACATACAAACTGCTCACTCTAAACCGTTATTTAATTAAATCGTCTACTTTATTTTATCGACTTTGAGGAAACGTTTTCATGGTCTATTAATCTCGGGATGTGGTAAGAAATCGTGCGCAAATAAGCACGTCGTAATTTTCAAACGACATGTCATTTCGGTCTCCGAATGTGTGGTATCAATTAGAGCAGGTAGGCAGGATCGAATTTAATATTTTTACCTTGTTAATTAAAACAGTAGGTAGATGCAATAAATTTAACAACTTCCGGCTACAAAATAAAACAGTTATTGCAGTCATTCCTGTTAATTTACTGTCATAAGTCATAACAATTTGTGTATCCGCCGTAGTCGATTTATGTGATAAGCGTGGAGCGTGTTTGGGACGCGATGCGCTACAAATTTGCACTAATCATTTTCAAATAATAAATATTTTCGCTGGGTTTGTCTTCCGTGGCTTTACGGAGTTGAAGCGGATCCTTGGATGAAAGGTTTACGAGCGGGTTTACGATTGACGGAGACAATTTTAAACATCTTTACTGTGGGGTTTATGAGCCGCCGATACAAATCGACGAGCGGAACAACCGCAGATAACACAATAACCACGAATTTATCACTAGTGAAGTGTTGTCTGTATTTAGGAAAATTTACCCAATCATAAATAATAGTTTAATCTGTATTTTTAACTAAAATCAAATCTGCGATTTTTCGTTGAGAAAAAAATCCAAACTGTTATCATTTTCGAAGGGAAACGGCGGTAAGTTGTCGACTAATTGAAGTGACATAAAGTCTACAAAGGTTTGATTTGAATCCAAGTTGTTCTAGACAGAATACGAGTAACAGGTATTAAATTAAAGTGCGAAGACCAATCATAATTTCATAAACAAAAAACAGTCTCCTTTTACTTTCTCATTCATCTCTTTTTGAATTCATATTTCATTTTTAAAAGCTTGTTATCTTTCAGATTTTTCTGAAATCTGTGTTATATTTAATTTGGTTTTCATTCTTACTTGTTTTCTTTTTCATTAGCAAAGTTCTGTGAGTTATTTTGACGAACGTCTACCATTATGTTTTCTCGATGTTGGGATGTTGTAGAATACGAAAATGTAGATCTCTCTTGCTCGTCTGTTTGTTTTATTAGATTTTAGTTTATTATTGTATTAATAATTCACAAACTACTGAACTGGTTATTATGAAATATTTTGGTGTTTTTTTTAAGAATTCATGCAGATAGTAACATGTTAATTACAAATAACATTTGGAACCTCAGTTTTACAATGTGTCTTAAAACCTGCAATAATTTCTAGGTTTGTTCTAATTATTAAAAAATTGGTCAAAAGTAAATTAGATACAACTTTCCTCGCCACTGTAGTAAAGTAAGTCAAACAAATCCAGTTTTTTATAAAAAAAATATTTTTTTCTGATAGCCCCTATGACTTACAGCTTGCCCTGGATTCTTAAACTACAGATAAAAAAATGGTCATAAGTTATTTCGACAGAACTTCCCTCGCTCGTAAGTATAGTTCGACAAATCCCGCTTCTTTAAAAAATTATAAAATATATATATAACAGTGGCGTAATTGATACCCCGGCATCCCCTTACGAATCGGGGGCGCAAATTTTTTCGGGAAAAAAATGTAGATATTCTCATTTTCTCTATACCTACATTCAACTTCGACTGTTTATGACTACGCTTCGAAAGAAATCGACTATTAGTACGTTCAGATTACTGCCCATTCACAATGGACATAAGACATAAGAACAAGCGCATAACATAATTTACGTTTTTGGTCTGTGTCTGGCTTATGCTTATCTACGTTCACAGTGGACAGAGTGAACTCTGTAAGAATTGTTAAACTGCGCAAACGCAGAACGGAATAACTCCCGGCCAAACATAGAAACGGCTAACCTCAAACTGAGTCAAAAAAAATATCTAACCTACAATTTCATACGATATTCGAACTTAACAACTCGCAGTGTGAAGCTTTGATTATAATTTATATAATATAATCAAAGGTGTGAAGTGCCAAGTACCAACTGTCAAAGGGAATTCAATAGCAGCATTCAAAAGTCCCTAGATTTTAACATAATTCGTGCACAAAGTTGAACTTATTTCAACTTTGTGTACGCACACAAGGATTACATAAAACGTTCATAAGCATAAGAATTACGTTCGTCCACTGTGAACAGGGGTACACGTTTTCCATCGTTTCAACTTTACGTATTTATGTAAGCTTTATGTACTTGTTATGCCTTATGTCCATTGTGAATGGGCAGTTAGATACAAGCATCAGCGGTTCAAAGAAAATTAAATTTGATTAATTTTATGTTCTCAGTGTAGAGGAAAGGGCTCATTGATTAATTAAGCACACTTGGTTTTTTCCCAAAAACACTCAAATTTGAAGAACATTTATTCGGCGAATTGTAAAAAAGGACGGACGAATTAACCTTAAAATATTTGCTAGATTTCACAGCATTTTTCTTTGCACATTCAAAATTAAGTTGCAAAATATTGTTATAATATATTGATTTTTTTCCCCAAAAATCTGGATGCCAAGGGTAAAAACTCTACACGGATTGCCAAAGGATGTCATTTCATCATTTTTTGGGAGGCCATAAATTGATATATTTTAAAATTTATCCTTTTATGTTACCTTAAGATGTTTGCAAGGTTTCAGGGCATTCGGTTGTGCATTTTCAAAGTGAAATTCTAAAATACAATTTTGATTTTTTTCCAAAAATCTGGATGTCTAAAGTCAACAGCCCAACACGGGTTTTAAAATCACACATGCAGGCGTTCTATATTCTATAAAATTTAAAGAGCATTTATTTGGCGAAATTATAAAATGACGTCATCGTTTTTTAGGAGGACACGAAAAAATTTTGATGAACTATTTACCATGATTACGATAACCATGAAATCCTTACATGTTTTCAGAGTATTCGGTTTTGTAATTTCAAAGTTAAATAATTGTCTAGGGTAAACACTTGACACGGATTCATAAATCACATATGCAGGGGTATCTTATTTTATAAATTTAAATAATATTTACAGTAGTTTTGTATCTGTCTAATAAAAATCCGGACAGACGGCAGATGGAAACGGGAGACTTACTTTTTCGTAGTTTAGGAGTCATAAAATGTCGAGAAAATATAGAAGTAACCCGCCGTCCAATAGACTCGATTACGACGATACTTCCTCAGCTTATGTTCAGGGACTAAAAAGCCCTACATAATTACGTAAAATACCTTTGTATTACTACCACGAATAAACATATTCCAAAAATTTTTAGGAAATGTGATAAGTTGTTTTTTATTTAGTTAGATGACGTCATAACTGTTTGAACGGGATAAAGAAGAAGAAAAGTGTTGTTATACGACAGCTTTATTTTTTTTGTTAAAAATCTAGATCTCCAAGATAAAAAATAAAAGCTGATTCATAGACCACAGGTAAGAGATGTGTTATTTTGTGTAGGTGTAAATTTAAGTAGGATCTACATTGAAAGATTTTGAGAGAACACCATCAAATTTTTTCTTATTAAGATCGGACAAATTTTGATTAGCGTTTTATATTTACGTGATAATCCTAACATACATCCAAAATTTCATAACACTTAGTTCGTTAGTTTCGGAGATGATCTGTCTAATAAAATTCGTAACATACGATGGACAGATGGAAACGGTGAAACTAATTTATTTCTACAGGTTATAAAACGTCGAAAAAAATGCGCATAATACTGGTGAATGTTTTTACTTAAGTAAGAAAAAAGCAGACACACACACTTCGTGAAATTTAAGATCCGTAATTTTCTGGCAAATTCTTAGTTTGGCTAATTTTTTAGAATCATCAACGTCATTTTCTTTAAAAGCAATATGGAGTAACGTTAATGTCATTGAAAAATATATTTTCTTACGAGGCCAGTTATATATTATGTCACCGATGAAAATTTTCTTTTATTTTTGTTGACCAAAAAATGTGTAATGTTAATCTATCAACAAAGAGAACGTTTAATTTTGCTTAATAATTAAAATCAAACAATCAATATTTAAACAAAAAACAAAATTTTATTTTGCATTTTTGCATTTAAATTGAATTTTGAAACAATAATGTTTTGAGTGGTGTTTAGATTATAAAAATTAACATTATTTAAAGTTTACAAAAAATTATTATTATTATCAGTCACGCTTCAGAGGGCGATGGGAACACCTTTTAAAATTTTTAGATGCTTTTTTTATGAAACGAAGTGAAGATTCCGAAACCCAAAAGAAGAATGCGTACTTGAAAAATTGTTTATAACTTTAATAATAATTGAGTTGAGGTTTTTTATTCTTACGAATTTCTGTTATTATTACATACTTTAAAACTTAGTGGAGTTATGTATAGTTCGAAAGTCGTTCAACAGCGACTGTTGTTGACGACTCATATCTGAAAACCGCCCGCGTCTGTACTCTTCCTCCTCCTCCTCCTCCCAGTTGACATCTCCAAGACGGTCGGTCGGTTTTGGTGCACTCTCAACTTCGCAGAACAAGTTCATGTTTATCTCCCGCCTTGGGTCAAGTTTTGTTTTCCTCATTCCGTGCGGCAAATTCGCGCTAATAACCTCCAACCTCCTCCACATCGCTCTTCCCAATTTGAGGAAGTCGAAACGAATCCCAGGTTGAAAGGTTTACGATTGCCGCTGACAGCTTTAGCATCGTTCCCGCTAAGGATGCGCGCCGCGGTGTGAATTTGCTCAAAAAGAGTATCGCTCTCTAAAAATATGGGTGTCATTCGGTGCCAAGATTAGCGTTCGTTCCGTTCGGCGTGTCCGCATCGAAAAGTTTATTTGCACGCGAATGTAATTCAATGTAAGTTTCGCAGTCACGGGCCGACAGCTTGGTAGATACGTTCAGGGAATAAACACAAACGCCTCCGATATTCCTAATGCCTTTGTTGTAGGGGGCGGGGGACGCATGAGCACAGCGTCGCGGCGCTTCAACACAAGTGCGGGATTACCGGCGTCGGTCCAGCAGCTTCATTCTAGTGCCGCGTCCGCTTCTCGCCGTTTTGTTAACATTTGCTTGCGTCTGCTTCGTCGTGGAGAAGTGGTCGTAGAGAGGCGATTGCCATTCGGGACGCGTCCGCGCGGATTGATGCCTTGGCCGAAAAACTGGCCCGCGAGATGAAGACGTCATCCCGTGTCTCCTCTTAATGAGCTGTCCGCGATCCGTCACGCGAGATCGTGGTGCGCGTCAGGGGGCGGCTCGCGGTCCTCCGCTCTTCACCGGCATGACGGCTCGGGATCTCTTCGCCCTTTGGACTTTCCTGCGAGACCCAGACCGGTGATACAAAACCACCATCCGACTTCCCGTTTCCGCATGGTCTGAACATGTGTCGACCGAAGAGCCGACTTGGATGGTGATCGTCCGACGATAAACAGACGTTTTTCTTTCGTTCTATGATTTCGTTACGATGGTGCGCAGGAAGAGGAAAGTCCGCTTTCTTTTGTAAGAATAACAATCACGGTGAGTTTTTTGAATTTATAGTGGGGGTGACAAAATTTTAATTAAATCAATTCTGAACATCGTCGCCTCGAAACACATAAATCTTTATGAATCCGTTGTCCGCATGTTTTAATTAAATATTCGAGATTGATAAATGGCCGCCCATTGTCTGACAAAATATAAAACATTAATTACGCTCTATCCTCACCTACAGCGACCCGTGTTATTGCAAATTTCGGATGTTTCAGCTGCATGCCACGATGCGCGATGACCAGTGCAGTTATCCGTTCGGTGCCTACAACAAAGGTTTGCCAAATTCTAATCCTACCTTTAGTCTAATCACTTTCTAATCGAACCACCCTAAAACATTCTTTGGCATTTTTTGTCACATAGATACAAACAAATATAGTGGCTTCCCCTCAGTACCACACAAACTCTATTGCGTTTTGTTGTCCAGCTGTTGTTGTCATGCATTAGTTGGCACGCTGTTCTCATAAAAATTTTATGAATTCACGATTTTTAAATCGCATTCTTCCAGTTTCTAGATCTCAGAGCATCAAACCTTGCCGTTTTCTAGAGTGCTATCTAAATATTTACTTATTTCCTCGAAACAGATTTAAGCTTAAGCGATAAACGAATCATCTGATCAATTTTTCGTTTTTTGTCTTCTTCACGAGATTGCTGCTACCGACTTTTCTAGTATTGTTTTCTGATATCTCCTTTTCTATAAACATTTCAGAGCTAATGCTAAACTTTTTTTATATTCCGGGTCTTCCAGATTGTGTCCCGCAGGAAACAGCTTCCTTTTGTTAGAGATATCGACATGTAGTAAAAGTCGGATTTAGCGACAAGTTGAGTGGTATACAAAGATAAAACCCTTACGTTATTTTTTTCAAAATCGGGAAATTGAATTTCTAAAAACCGCGACAGAGACTTGCGTAGATAAGCATTTACGTATGTCCCCGTTATCTAAACCAATCATAATTGACTATTCAAGCATAAGACAATAAAACATCGTCACTTATTTATAGCAACTTTTTCAGAAATTTCATGTTCATTACTACATACTTTATTGATGAAGAAATAACAAACTACGAATGTTGACATTGTTTTTATATTATAACAAAATTTATTTTAAAGGAAATGAAAATTCTTAACACATTAGAAAATTTTGTTGAATTATCAAACAAAAGTTAAAAACATATATTGTCAAATTTAAACTCTCTTTTTGTCTTTTGAAAATCTAGAAGGGAAAACGTTTAGTTTTGACGAAGTTTGGAATGTCCGTTTTCTGCTTATTGACAAAAGTAATAACCAACAATCATCATTTAATCAAAAACACAACTAAGTTTGTTTTGAAATATCAAAGCATCAAAGTAAATATCAAGTCATGACACATTTATTGCTTGCAATTAAAAAGAAAACTGAATAGCTACAGAGTAACAATATTACTTTGCTTTGGATGCATCTTTCTGTTTACATGTTCGTTTTGTAAATATTTTCTGAAAATGCAATCCAGCTGAAGGAGAAATGACAGTTTTCTGTTTTCATTCAATACATACAAACAGTGTTTTGCCATAATATCTAAAGTAGAGTACGCCAAATAGTGAACATTGATTTTGATTTTCCAAAAGTGCTTATTGGAAGCCCGCGAGAAACTGGGCAGCCTAGTACGTGTTTGACGTGTGTTCATAGATATATGATTCATAAGACTTTTATACCTTGCAGGTAAGCAGCTAGAAAGGAGGTCAGGGCTGTAATCATTATTACCGTAAATTTTAACCGGTGTATTGGTGACTTCCAATAAACAGAAAATCAGTGTTCACTATTAGGCGGACTCCACTTTAAACCATACGTATAACTCAAGTGAAAATATATAATATACGAAACGTAGAAAAAAATTAATTTATTTGTTTTGTAATTCTGGCTCATTTTTTTGTAATAGCCTTATATTCTAATGCTTTGATTTTTTCCACAGCTAGCGCTTTTTGCAGTGTTTAGTTATCATTATTTCCATATTAAAAACTTGTGTTATCCGAAAATTATGATTTTATTAACTTTCTTGTTTGAGAAAATATAAAAGCTTTTTTTAGAGCTTTCTGTTAGTCAAAACTGGAACGAAACGCATAATAATTATTTTCCATGGTAAGAAAGAAGTCTTGCTTATTAAAAATTTCCACGAAATTAACAGAAATTTTTTAAATATGTTACCAACACGTAAATGTACGATTAAGTTTAAAATTAAATCTAGCTTTAACGACTTTGGTTAAATTTGAAGCAGAACATATTTCTGTGCATAAAATAAGAAAACTGTTACAAAATTAACTTTAGTGTAACACTACTTAGCAAAATATTTTCTTCTCGAAGGCAACAAATTTCGGATCTAATAATAAACGAGCGTCATAGCTGCCAGCATCAGATGGATGGATTTCATCATATTGCATATTTTTGTTGAATAAATTCGTCAGGACACTCAGTAATTAATTTCGTTTCAACTCACAATCGAATCCGATGATTTATGGCCATTTTCAACATAATGTGCAATTAGTAACTTTCGGTGCAGCTAAACCCAGTTGCACAACAAGACTGTGTTATGTAAATTAGACGTGAAAAAGCTTCAAGGCTATTGAACCATCGGTGTTATCCATTCTGTAAAGTTTGGCTCGTAAATCAAAATTTGCAAAGTACACTTTTTCAACTTTCACTTTGAGTGCGAGATAAGAAGAGCATTTTAATGTGGCGTCTTTTTACCCTCGTTTAAAATGCCCTATTGTAAACAAGAGATTTTAACGTGTAATGCGTAACGGGGGGTGGTCGACTAACTTTCCTTCTTTAGAAAATTCCGCTCTATTATGACACTTAGTAAAGAAACGAAAGTTTTGCCGGTCGCGCTTATTAAAAATTCTAAACGGAATTGGGCACGAAAGTGTGGCATTGTGTGCTGCGGGCTGCTGGTGATTTGTGATATCAGATTTCTGGTGTAGTGGTGACCGTTTAGTGGTTAGGAAGTAAAAGATTTATAGATTTGTATCGTTTAGGCGATTTATTTCGAATTTGGGCAGTGGTTATAAATTCGAAGGTTTCGTGGACTTGTCGTGGCTAATAAAAATCATGCTATATTGACTGCCGGTTTATTATGTTTGCGCTGACAATATTAGGTTACACGGGAATAAATAATATTAAATTATTTTAGTTGCGGTTAATAAAATTTGTAACCTTACTCAACTGTCATAAAGTTTGGGAATTTCGATCAATCTCTTTATTTATAAAATATGTACGGTGGAAAGTTGCTATTACAACACCGATTTTCTGGGAGTTTTGTATGGATGTTATATTTACATGGATATTATTTTATCAAATTCATATAAAAATTTGGCTTATCTGAATTATCATATTCCGTAAACAGTTGATCAGAATGGCATTTTCATTGAGAGAATTTGAAATTTCTTAACGTGTTTTTGCGATAACTCACATTTGTAATTTATTAGAATTAGTCATAATGGTAACGGAATATTTGCATGAGATCAAAGAGATCGAGTCGGTGAGATATTACACAAACTTTCTCAAGGAAAATGATAACGAAATATTTTTATTGCATGTTTGAATACAGTAGAGTAAAATTTATTATGTGCTTTCTTTGAATATTTTTAGTTGTCTTTATTTTTTTTTTAGAGTAAGGTGAAAGCCATCTTGTTAATTTATTGTTTTTATTTAAAAAGTAATTGTAATGGTAGAAAGTTCTAGTATCTAGGCAAATGAACTAGGTATATTTACAAGCATATAAGTTTTCAACTATGTAATCAAGTAATCTACTAAGGAAACAAAAAAAATTTGATTGATGCTTTTATATTGTTCAACTTTATTCTTCATTTCATAGTTTGAATAATTAAATATGATTGGGTGTACTAGCGTTATTTTTGTATGTTTTAAATACAGATTATTTTAATTTTGATAAATGAAACGCGTCTGAATTATTTATTACGAATGCCCAAAATGTTGAGTAAAGTTTGTTTGAAAAGTTCAACTAGCTTTCTAAGTTCCAAGTTTATAATTTTGTTAATTTTTGTAAGAATTGGCTTCACTTATGTACTTTAAAAGTTTTATACTAATATACCGAGTTTTTCCTTTTTACAGTATTCTTAAACAGTGGCATAGCAAGCTGGAAAAACATACCAGTTATACCTATTCCCCCAATTTTATAATTCGACTGTTGCTTATGGAATTTAGTATTAATTAAGCGCACTAGAAACTTATTTTTTATAATTAAATGCGAATTAATTATAAATACAATAAAATAATCCAGTTCAACACATACCTAAATGTTACTTTAAAAATTGGAAATAATTTTTTTAAAAGGATAATCAAGGAATCTCTTGACCCAAAAGTTGTTTTGTTTTACAAATAACATGTTTTTTGTTCCGCATTTTGCTTTGCATATGTTATAACCTTAACTTCTCGAAAATCAACATTTGCTGACTGACGTAACGAATTATTTTCTTTTCGTTTCATAGTTGATATAAACCGCTATTGTTTACTTCGGTTTCCACTACAAAATTTTTTGCCCCTCTTTTGACATTGTAAGTTTTTTTCAGATTGAAAGCTGTGCTGAAGTCTTTTTTCTAGAAAGGTCACAATTTTGTTTATTCTCCCAGTTCTGACCATAGAAGCTGCATAGACTTTTAGAGCTCTTCCTTGTGGTTACAGTTTTTCCTGATTTTCTTCAGTTCGTTTCTCTTAACCCCTCTTGGTCACAGCTTTTTTTGATTTTATTTAGTTCCTTTCTCTTAACTCTTCTGTTTGGCTTTTTTGTCTTTCTCAGCTCCTTAGTCTTTGTTGCTCACTCTTACATATATATGATTCCTGTCGATGTTTCCATCATCTTAATTTCTTTTTGCTGATGTTTAGCCATTTTTAATTTATTTTAACATATTATCGTCGTCAGTGATTTCGATATTTCTTTGACACATTTCACATACCATTTTGCCTAAATTTTCTCAATTTTCAAAACTAGATATCAATAA